AGCAAAATGTAACGGGAGTGGAGAATTGAAAAACTTCAAATAAAACGAATAACATGTTGCGAACATGCACGACACAAAGTTTTGTGTTACAATTTTTATTTCTACAGAATAATGAACAGCGATAAAAGAAAGTAAAAAATGGAAAGTTAAATTCAGTTGAGTTGAGAATGTACTAAGAATAAAAATAGAAGAATAAAAAATGATTAACGTGACACTCTGCATCAGGATGATCTTATTTTAGAATTTTTGTTCTTTTCCATATTCTTTCCATATTTGCGAAAATTCATTGACGAGCAGATAAAATGGTAAAATAGCGCGTATAAATTTAACAAGCGATTCACTGAGCTGAACGCGAAGCTAGAAATAGGGCGAGAACCCGTATTGGGATTTGAAAAATGTCAACAGACTACGATTCGGTTGCCCCGAACGCAAGACAAATGACGGTTAAAACGGGAATTGCGGCTATCACGAAGTTAAATCACGATGTACAGCTGACTGGTTTCGAATAGTGATTTTTTAATATGTATATCATATCGGTGATGCTGGAAATACGGGCCGTGGTCGATCAATAATGTATCTCGATAATATATCGGCGGGGTTAACCGATTTGCATTGGTTACTTCACGCACAAGCGGAGGATAGTAATGATGAATCCGCGTGATAGAAACATGGGGAGGAGAACAAAAGTGGCAAGCGGACAATGATACGCTAATCATGAGTGGAGAATGTCACGATAGAGAACGTAAAGAGGAAATAGCGCGTTAACGAATCGCCGGGCAGATCATTAGTTTCGAATGCTGATTTCTTAATGCACCGTCCATAATTTCTATAAATTGATACCTCATTCAAGCGTCAGATAATTAAACGAATAAAAAAGGCGGTAAATATACTTTTGTTTTTAACGTCACTTCAATTGATCTTAACATCACGAAAATAGCAGGCACAAGAATACCTTTTCGTTACGGGTCAGTTCTTTTAGGGGGAATGTATAAGACGGGATAGAGAGTAGGTATTTTTATGTCTTTTAATTACAGAGAGAGAAAGAGAGAGAGGGAGAGAGAGAGAGCACACATGCTGTTATTAGCCAAGACGATGAATAACAATATTCCATGAACTAATTTTACGAGCATACTTTCTCTGTAGTACATTATTACAAATATCGAACGTAATATAAGTAGAAATTAATAAATTATTACGCACCGTGGTACGTCAAATATTTTAACCCATTTGCAAACGTGCATTACTAATGAGAATTAAAAGTACTAATGCGGGTATACATTGTACGATAGCGTAATGCATTGTAATATAAATGTTTCTAACAAAACAGTATCAGATATATATTCATATGTACACGTACGTACATACACAAATACACATTCCAGAAAGAGTAAAGTGAATTAAGCTGTACACAGAGCTTCGCGGATAAACTCCCCATGCATATATCCGTGGCACAAATATGAAACGAGTATAAACTAGCGGATACCGCACGTGCAAATATTCGCGTGATACGCAGAATACGTATAGAAAGAATAAACATTCAGTCCCTCCATGCCCAACAGTTCGGCGCTCGAATAGTTCGTAATAGTCAATTAAAGCGTATAGAACATTTCCATTAAAACTTGGATAGTGGCCACGGATACCTGAAATATTCACAAAGGACGTTGGTGCAGAGGCAGAGTGATAAAGACGACCATAAACGCGCCGCTTTGACGGCAATTGCATTTTGCAGTTTACGCTACGCACTCAGATATCGCCTGTTATCATCGACATGCACCGTCAATGATCCACCGTCCAGTCTGGCAGTCCCAGAATACGTTTTATTTAATGGCGACAGCAAAGCACCGTTAACTGTAACCACTTATGGAACACGCGCGAACCATCAAGCGATAGTCGAACTCAATCTCCGTATCGACGCCGCCGTATACATATATCTTTCATCGGCGTTTGGCATGGCTAACAAAGTTAAGATCAATAGACTCGCGCCGATTTAATACGACCCGTCAGACCTCGTTGAACCGAGTGCAACTTTCCGAGCAGCGCAATGTCGATATATCGCTTTATCGGATTAGATTTTTAAATTGAATTTCGTGTGAGTTTAGGAATTTTGTATTCGAAATACGATCTAAGTCGAATTGATTTTTCCACCTTATATCTTCGTGATATTCTTTTCTTTCTTCTTTTGTATGAGAACACTCTGATGAGAGAACTGAAATTCTTCGCTTATTCCTGCATCACTGATTGCATTCAGCGGAAAAAGCAGCTTTGCATCTGTTGTGAGATTTTTTTTAATACAATTGGATTATACATTTATGGATTCAGTGAAGGAACTAAGGATCAAGACCAATCACACTAAAGAATTTAGCAACAGTTGCAAAGCTACTTTTTTCTGCTGAACGCAGTTATTGAACTTTATTTGGTTTCACCTGCTGAAACCTTTATAAAAAGAGAGAGACGCGCGTAAAAGATAAAATTGCGTAAACGTCTGAGGGCATTGCGGAGACATAGATCGTGTTATAAGCTGTGCGCGGTTGTTCTTTAAATACTACAAACATCGTACCGACGAGGCGTGTCGATTTCAGGGCGGCTTTACATTCAACCCCGTTTGAGGGAACATCGCATGCATGTTTCCCACGACCTTTCCCGTAGCAGCCGACCGCGGTAAAGCGCGGTAACATTGCAAAGCACACCTTTGAAGTCAAGTCGGCCCACGTCACGGAGTTCCGAAGAAGTGTGCGTTGAGGAAAGAGTAAAATACCCCGCTTGACGCGGTATCGTTCCCGATGACGTCACAATAGATCAAGAACCCCATCACAATCACCCCCCTCGGCTCGTACGACGTATGACGCAAGCGTCCATCTCTTCAACAATAAGTCGGACGCCAATGACGTCCGTCAGCTAGGGTTCTATAGCCGCTACATGTAAACCGTACAGTCCGTAATCGCACGTAATTATTCAAATGGAGAGTATACACACCGGCATTAAGGTTGTTGTATCGATCGGTGATGCTCGAACGAAACGAGCGGAGACTCGTAATAGTACATTGTTCGCTGACACGTTTCGGACGGCGTTCAATCCTTTTTCTTGTGGTCCGCCGATTGCATTTTGCGCGCCACGAAGTCGCGAATTTCATGCCTCTCTTCGTCGCCGACAACGTCGACGAACTGGAAAGCACCCGTGATCGGTTGTTTACAAGAGTTGGGACTTACCTGCGGTTTCTGGCGCGTTTCTTGGTGTCCTTCTTCTATTATTTGAAGACTTGAGTAAAAGTAGCCTCTATAAGTAGCCTGTCTTTTCAATAAAAGAGGGCTTTACGTGTATCAAGTATCTATCTTTAAAGTTCTACTTGCAATTTATAGTGCTTCGCACGTAGTCCTGTGAGATCTGGGACATGATTGTGTAAAATAATTATATACAGATCGATCATTTATTAAAGCAAAACTTTATTATAGCAATAGTGAACAATGGATAACTATTAAAGATTTTTAACATGTTTTTTTTTTTTTTTGATAAAAATAGCGATTGGATGTTTAGGTTTAGGTAATAGGTGAATATCTAAAAGGGTCTCTTATCGTACGAAATTCTTTGAACTAAAAATTACCTACGGTCGTGTTATTAACGCACATGATAATCGCACATACGTGTCGATAATTCTGAATTTAGGCGGCGCGTACCGTGAATCGATCGATCGTACGTCGCATACGATCGAATAGAACGCAATTAAAATTACATATATTCAGCGGGATTTCGCTTTCGTTCTCAATTCAAACGATTGCAGAAATTTACAAATACAAAATAATTCCTTTATGATATAAAACGAGAAAAATTTTAATTCCCCCCCACCCACGATAAAATTTTCCACGTACTTTGCGCGTTCCGAAAAGTCATTTTCATTCTGACTGCAAAAGAAGTGTGCTTTCGCATCGGACAAGCGCATGATGACGCGTGTGGCCGAATAGATTTAATCGATAAACATATCGCCCGGTGCGAACAAACGGAACGTTTGGCGAAGCGTTTTGGAGGAAGATCGATATTTACGATTACGTTCCATAAGCAAAACTGCCGATGCGCCGATGCATGCCGAGGTACGGTGGTGTTACCTCGAGCGATGCTGGATCCGTCCCTTACACCGTGCGGCTAAATTGAATTCTCCTAAGCGGTATATATCGGCTCCTACGAGCTTCAAAACGACTCACGGCGCGCTACCGCCCCGGCCCTAATTTCCACCCTTGATCGCTCTGCTGTCGACAGGAACGAGCAGAATGCAAAAAAGAAGCGAACCGAAAGAACGGAGAAAAATACGGCGATGATGAAGGATGAGTTTTCCACGATATACGAATGAACTATTAATCTCGCGCGCGCGCGAGATCGCTCCAATTTTCTGCTTTAAGGCAAGATATATCCGTAAAAAAAGGGGGAAAGAAAAACGGGAGAAAAACGGGCGCCGGTGACACGAGAGCGGAAAGAAAGGCGGGCGAAATTAAGAGGAAATCGGTTAACGGATCGTTCCCGCTCTTCCGCGTCCGTAATCTTCAGGATACAAAAAGTAAGGGATACACGCAGCGCCATGTGTAGCAAATCCTTCCCCGTCCTACCCCCTCCCTCCGCTACACCACCCGAGAAACGAGTCTACGCTTCCGATACTTGAAAACCTAAGACAGTCGTCGGCTAGTCCTAGTGATATATTTTAATAAATCATTATCGCGGGTCTATCCTTCTTTCCTTTCTTCCTATTATAGTAGTATGTCGTCGTAACTAATTATTCAGTTAGGGTGTCTCTCCCCCCTTTACGTTTTCCCTTACACCAGAGTTAACCACGAGGGCTGTCACCCAAAATCGTCTCGTATCGCATACATTAAATCGAGTCTATAGTCTATCTCGCCTTCTCGCGGTTGATGTTGCGGGATAATCGATTAGGATTTCGCAGGCAGTGTTTGAGATCTTTTATTTATCTTTCTCTCTCTCTCTCTCTCTCTCTCTCTCTCTCTCTCTCTCTCTCTCTCTCTCTCTTCGGATGCGTTTCGAGCTCACGTCTCGACGAACAGCGGCGAAACTACTTTGCCTCGCTGGCGGGGCAGGCTACCTTCCTCTACGTCGCCGATCGATCGTTCCGCTCGCGATATCCCGCCGCATCAATCGCATTCACGCAACATACAGTAATCTTACAAATAATATATCTAACAACTTTTAGTTCAACTTAGATTGCTTTCCGTGATCACGCCTACTCCAACCCGAAGCGCGCCTTCGTGCACTCGCATCGGGGCACGCACTTCTTCGCACTTGGCAAGACTGCGACCATCGTTCACGATCGATACTTCCTTCCCGCCCGCCATCACCGTAAACACGCGATTGACGTGACGTGGTCCGCAAGGACTGCACGAAGGCGCTCTTAGCCAAAGTTCGTGTACTTTACTATTCTATCGTAATATTACGTTTGCTTTTACTCTTTTTATAACTTTCTTTAAATATGCGATAGGTAGGTTTACTATTCTTTACGTATCGATCCGTGACATCATGCAATCGTACGCATGCACACACACACACACACACACACACACACACGCAAACATGCATGCGCTCACCCATAACACTCTTTCAATCGCTTTTCTCTGCTCATCTCTATATCCAGACGCGTCTGCGATCTACTACGATTCGGGATCGTCGGTTGATGACTGGAGAAATTTAAGGATGATTTGTAGATACAAATGGACCGAGCGGATCGTCGAGGATCCGCTTCCCGTTCTTTCTTCTTGTTCTAAAGGCGAAAGAATCGTGCGTAAGAATCTTCAAAAGCGAAACGAAACTTTCGCGAAGGTCAACGGAATCCTTGTCGATCCGCGCGACTTCGAGACTAGCTCAGTCTCGATCCGAAAGTCTTTCGATTTTACCTCTAATGTGTATTCGGCCTTAACCCTACGTCATAATACTATTCAATACTTGTTGAAGCTCATAATAAGTACATACTCGAGGATTAGATTATTGTATTATTCTCTTACATCTTCCTAGGTTCTCTCGTTTAGGTACAACACCGCTACTTCGGTCTTTCAGATTTTTTTTTTCCAGCGATTTTCCTTATCGGAGGTCTTCTCCCTTATCGCGTACAATCTCGTATAGGTTGAGCCTTATAGGTACAAAAGGTAAACCGTCGATCGCGACGATCTCTGTACAGAAGTTAATAACAGCCGCCGCCCATCGAGGGCTCGATCGGGCATCTCCGCGCTGCTGTATTACCGAGGATACTGTGAATGTTACAATATAAATGTCTATGTACAAATTTAAGAGTAAAAGCGAAACTATCACCGATGCGCGATCAACTACTTGAGGGAACTGAAATCCGTGTTTAGAAAGGCGTCATGACCTCCCCTGCTACTCTTTTATGGTCTACGTGTAGGTGTGTGCTGATTATGGCTGGCTGGGTGCTATCTCGATACGTCGATCGTTCGACAAACCGCCACCGGTTAAATGGCCACCGGTAAACATTTGTTGCCGCGTTGATTATAAAATGTATGTCGAGATCTCCGAGGAAAAGTCGCGGACGGACGCTAACACGAACGCTATTCCCACTATAGTGCGAGTTTGCATATTTTCATGGACGATTGCTAAACGAGGACGTATGTATTTGCAAAATTAGCGATGAAGCATGGTAAAATTGAGTTCCTGTCATTTTCGTATGTGTCGAAAAATATCCGTTTGCATCTCTGTTGAAAAACATTTGTTTATTCAGAGATCGAGAGGATACTTTTTTTTTTGTGGCCAATCAACTTGAGTGAATGCGCGGATAGTCGAAATACTAACAATAGATTAAAATCATGCCGTTGCTTTTTAGCGATAAGTCTTCTCTGTCGTTTTTTTTTTATAAAAATATAACGCTATTATCTATGTACAGATAATCACCGAAGTCGGAAACGCCCGTTCCCATGTCCGAAAGAAGCTCTCGAGCGGTATAATAAAACAGAGCGTAACGAAAGCTATAAGCGGTGGTAAAATAAAAGAGAAAAGTATCCAAACGATTAATGTATTCGATATCTAGAAGATAAGTCAAATGTAACAGCAAATATGCCAAAATTCCAGTTTTCAGGCGAAGCGGACTTCACGGACGCCGTAGGCGCTGTAGGCTTTTCAAATGCCGAAGCATGTACGTGTTCCACGTATGCGGGTAAAAAATGCAATGCTGGGGCTCCGATAGCCCGCGCAACCTCAAGTCCGGAAGTCGTCGAAACGATCGCTCGCCTCGATGTTACCCAGCACCGCGCGCGTTTAGTTTTGTCGGCGGTCGTTACTCCGGTTTACTCAGCGATACCGCAGGATGCAACGAGAGATCTCTCCGGCCATGTTCATCGAAAACTTATAAGCAAACATGTATATCCTCTACGCTAATATTAGACTTATCTAAGCGGAAAATGTGTACACGTGACTCTCAAGTCCGGTATTATGTACAGTGCACGGGCGCGTACATAACGATCGCCGTTAATCGCTCGTAACGCATTTCTCTCGTGCACACGCGTGTGTGTGTGTCTGTTGAGGAAAGGATTGGATACAAAAAAAAAAAAAGAAAGAGCAGACGGGATTACGTGCGTTTGAAAGAAATGTATAACGTGGATCTGAAACCGCAGGTCTCGCTGGTTTCCTTTGAAGGAGATAAACCCGCGTAGCACCTTGATTCGAAGGGAGGGAACGGGGGAGGGGTGGGAATGTCTAGTTCTCGACGATGACGACGCGTCATGAAGGTACTCGTAGTGATTCCTCGCGAATTGGAGTATGTCGATTTTTTTTTTCGAGAGTTCCGCGCGACACGAAACGACACGCGAATACGACGCGCTTTTGTCGACATAATGCGAATGTGCGGGGATAAAAACACGGCGTCATCGTGTGCTCGTTTCGCTGTGCCGCGCGTTTCATGTAGGTACATGAAGAATAATGGTGATGATCAGAACGACACGAAGGTTCTCGCAAACAAAAGATAACGGGCGGTAGCTCGCGCGATCGTCGAGATGCGATATATGAAGGGAAAAATGAAGGAAAACGCGGAGGTGCGCAGGGGCACGAGGGGGTTCAGTGGGTGGGTCTGAAGGGTGCAGGTAGAAAATAGGCGTGTGCGCGCCGCGAAAGCGGCGAACGTGATATGGAAAGCTAACCAGCGTCGCGCGAGTGCAGCAGCGCAGCGGCGGCTCGCATGAAGGTCTCTAAAGCCGATAATAATCTCATATGTAACCTGCGTGACGTCGTAAACGCGCGGTTGGTCACGTTTCGTTTTTCTTTTCTTCTTTCTAACACGACGTGTTTTACCTTTCTTTCTTCGTCCGACACCACCGCTTCCTCTCTCTCAGCCTCCTCGCCGGCTCCGTTTGCGACTATTCTCCAATCGATGCTCCCATCCTCATTGTAGGGAAGCTCCATCTCGACTTCGTTCGTCGGTCGCTTCCACCTTCCGGATGCGAAAACAACTGCAAGGTAACGCGCCATTCTCCTTTTGACGCACCGCTTAATATTGATGTTCTATCGGTAATCGATATCTTGGTCACGATGATATCACGATCAACGTTGCGTCGTCTTCCGTAAATGAGGCTTCGATATCGTATGTACACATAAAATTCCCTCCATCTCGCAAAATTAATTATAAGTTCAAGGAAAGGAAACTGCGCGTTTCTCCATGCAGTATCGATCGGTCCAGGTGTGAGAGGAATCGGGACTTTATCCATGATTCTTCGGCACAAGAGGTATCGTTCATTCACCCCGAGGAACATCACTCCGCGCGATTGCGCAACCGTATTGAAATTTACGAGCCGAGGATCTACGTCCCGCTGTCCCCGCGCTCCTTTCGCAGCGTCCAGCGTTCGGTCTCACTTTCGCGGATCGCACGCGACACGTCTATTTACAGCGAGACGAGTACGATATATATATGTATACATATGTGTGTGTGTGTGTGTGTGTGTGTAACGGAAAGTCGGATGCGTGACGAGAACGGAAGTGGAATGTTCTCGCGGGTCACCGACCGCCAATAAACTCGATGGTCACTCGCGATCGGCAGCGCCGACGAGAAGCTCTCGGGCACGGTGGCACGTGGATAGCAATACACACGATTGATCATACGTTTCTTCACACCTTTTATTCAGTTCACTAGTTCGCGAATCGCGGACCGACTTCAATCACTTAAGAGTCCTCGAGTGACCAGCGGGCCAAGCGCGGTGGCGTGACCGGCCAAGAAGAAGGCCAGGCCGATCCAACCGGTGGTGGTCCAGCCGCGATTCCTTGGCGGGACGCTTATGCGTATCATCGTATCATCGTAATCTCGGCTCGACGAGGGACCCAATGATCGGCTCCATCAGACGAGGGGCGTGCCGTACACCTCGTTCGTGTGTAAATTCTGATTGCTGTCGTTCTGCCTCGAGGCGCATTGCTGCAACAGAGAAAGCACGCACGTCGATGCTATAAAGGGAGTTGCATCTCGATTCCCGAATGTATTAAACAACATTGTTGCTTCGTGTACCGTGTACCACGTGCTCGAAACTAAAGATGATCGCTGCGTGAAATCAATTCGCGTAAGTAAATGTAAATAAATTTCACAATCGATCATGACTGATGATTTTAATGCAGCATATTCATGTAAATTATAAGAGATTATTATGAACTCATCCGTCATGATATACGATATAATAAAACATTAACGATCGCCTTAATACGAGCGCAAATATTTATATAAAGTAAACGCGTAAAATCGGCTAACCACATTAATAATTCTGTCGTGCAAATTATATTGATTTTGTTTTATGCGTTAAGAGTTGTCGTTGCGTAATACATAAAAGATTACGAACGATTTTGAACAATCACAGAGTAATTCTCATTTGCCGGCTATCAAATGCAATTATATTTATCGATACACATTATCGATTTACAGCTATACGCCCGTAGGTATATTTTCCCACAATAAACTTTACCTCACATCGAGTAATTTCATGATAAATATTTAATTTTCGTCCGTCCGTTCCGATGCATATAAAGATAACTGAATATACGTAGAATCTGCTGAATTGTACATCGTTTTGCAATGCAAATTTTGAACGGCTCGATTACGGT